GGGGTGTGGGCATCTAGATAAGATTGGAATGAGCACCATCACCTACACCCACACCCTCAACAAATAATATTCTATAAAATGATTATTCACTTTTCAAAACGAGCCAATTCAAATGTTCTCGACGCATTTATTAAACATTGATATATAAGATCTGTAACTACTGATTGTTCTGTACCAATTTTAGTTACACGTTGACGAACTTCATCAAGTTTCTAAATATTTTAATTAATAAAAAAAATCATTCAAGATTTTTTATATCTGTATTTGATCAATAATATTAAATGATATTTTTCTGCAGCAAGTCTATCATCAACACCATCAAGTTTCTGTTGATCAGAATACAAATATCTTTTAAAAATATAAAATAAAACTACCGCTTCTCGCTTTGGTTTTTTTTATTTGTATTTTAACACTCTCTTTATTAACTATTAAATCTTTTCGAATATGTTCAATAGTTGCTTCTGTATATTCTTTATGTTTTAATAATGATTTTATTTCTTCATTAACATCACTCCAACATAAACGTAATTTAGCAATAACAACACGACATTGTCGAGCATAAAGAAAAGCTTTTGTATTACTCAATTCATTAAGCATTTCATGCACACATGGTAAAGAATCAATACCTGAATTAAATATTTATATTGACTTATTTTTAATTAAAATATTATCTTTGCCAAAGAGAATATTTTGATCACTTTGTTCAATCACTTTAGCATTAACACGAACATCAGCCATTGTCTCTTGCCACCAATTATCATTACTAAGTAAACTTCGACTTAAACATTGTGATTGTTGTTCAATTATAGTTGGTGATGGTCGACTTAGTCTTTTTATTCGTTTTTGTTTTAATGGTTCACTATCAAATGTAAGACTTCTTGATAGCAATTGTTTTCCACTCTTATTATTAGTATGATCATCATCATCATCATCAATTAATGATGGTCTTTGCATTTGACATGATGTATTTGGGTGTGGTGGGTGTGAATGTGAGTGTGTTCTATCTATAACCACACTCACACCCACCTATACCCTCAATAAGTATGGTGCCTCTTGAACACCAAATACATTATATTGAACAATCAATACCATCAGTTCTTAGATGAAATAAAGAATATCTCAACATGAGATAAATAAGAGAAGAAGTTAATTCACTTTTTAATCTTATTATACACAAAAGATTTATTGTATACTCTTTCAATGTCGATTTGATTCTTAAAGAGAATCAACTTCATGATTTTTATTAGTTAATAAGATCAGATATATTCAGATCAAATTAAAGCTTTTACTTGCAAACTAATAAATTTAAAATATAGACTACTATTGGCGTGTCTAGACTACGATGTTCAAATTTTAAGGTATTCACAATGCGTGTAACGTATTCAATAATTAAAATTTCAGGAGATTTTTTTCGTTATTTTTAGATAGAACTTGTCGAGTTGCGTGAGAAAAAATATCTTACAGAAAAGTCCAAGATACCATTATTTTCTAGGAAAATGCAGTTACCATCACATTACCATGGTAATGTGACAGTAACTATCTTTTTCTACATATGTTCGACCTTCGTTGATTTATTTGTACAATTCAACATCGGCAATAAATTCTAAGAAACACACTTCAGATTCTGGGTGTGGGTGCAAATATGACTAAATAGAAGATACATACCAACATTCATCATTCGAATTTTGTCATTTTCTTTTCAACGAGTCAATAAATATATATTATGCCTTTTCTTAGTAACTCTATGCCCAATTTAGAAACATTATGCCTTTGGAGATTAGATGATTTTTCTTCGATATCTAGTAAGTGTATGTTAAATGAAAAATTAATTAGAACAAATTATTTAAATCTTATTCATGGAACTTTGAAAAAAAGAAGATATATAATTCTTACAAATTTTTATTTGAAAACATCGATCGGTTTTGTTTACGTATTACCATTGTTGTCTTCTTTATTAATTAGACATATGATGAACATTTTTTTCCATGGATTGACTTTATTTTGGTCATTCATTTTTAGTTGGGACTATCATTATACAGTAAATAGAATAGCTGGCCATCGAACAGATTGCAAATGTGGTTCAGCTAAATGTCGTCGTCGAGTTCTCTAATCCTTGATCATAATTAAATAAAGAACCAAAACAGATTTCGTAGAATAGTGCCTTTTTTGTCTTGTTTTTTCTTGAAAAGCAAGAAGGACAAAAAAACGAATTTCAACATATGTATGTGATCATTATTTGGTTTTTTGCTTCGTTGATTCCTTAGATGGATTTATCAACGGATGAATAAAGTTTTTGTTGAACAAAATAAAAATCTTAAGTATTGAAATAAATCTCTAGAAAGTCTTCTTAATCTTTTAATTAGAGTGATTTTATCAAAGAGGAAATCCATTTTATAATCTATTGGGTTTAACTGAACAAATTTATATGAAAAATCTTCCAATTGAAGCAATAGCACAATCAAATAAATTTATTTTATTGAATTTTTTCTTGGTTTCTCAAAGTTAAATGCAAACGGTATTGAATATAGATTTGTTCACTGGCAAGATCCAATCTTGTATATATTATTCGAAAATATTTTTATAAAGGATCAAATGAATGCATCTAATCAAATAAAAAACAAAATGATTGTTAAAAGCATATTTAATATGTTATGGAACATTCGAAAGAAATGATATAGCTCTTGTACTCGTGAAACATTTTTTCATATTAAAGAATATATGATGTTGATTAACTCGATGTTGTTCAAGAATTAACTAAATATCAAAAGTTTTTAAATTGTAAAGAAGATTATTCAACTACTTTAATCCTTTACTCTCTGTTGGGACATTTTCGATCCATCCATGAAACTATCTATTTGGAATATTAAAGCATCGAATCGATATGATGATTTCAGAACATTGTGTAAAGCTGCTAATCAGCTACGAATTCGAAAAAAAAAAACTTCTTTTCATCATTCCTTGGTTAAAATATATGAGTTGGAAAACGGTATTTTCTCACAAAAGTGAAAAGAATCTGTTTTATTTAGTTATACAGACTGATAATTTTGATGTTCATGGGATTGGTGCATAATTAATACTATGAGCATAATCTATTTGTAGAATCGTTTTTAAAAATTTCTTGATTATAGATATAAAAGCAATCTTTTTCATGACAATTTGGGTCATTTTTTATCCATTCATAATGAGTAACATAAAAAACGATTTTTCTCGAGTTATTTTCTTCAATACAAATTCATAAAATAATATGATCTTCATGGTAAATGCTTTATTAGAACGATAAAAGATAGAAACTTGCAGCCTCTATTATGATCTTCCTTCTCGATGAGACTTTAACAATAGGACTGACTGATTTCGGATTGGAATCAGAACCAATGATTCCATATTATATAGAGAACCCCATCGTATATCATCCTTCGGAATGACTCATTTTTCAAAAAATAGTTCATGATAAGTAAGTTTTCAACTTCATACAAATAAAATAGTAGTATAACTGCGAAAATGTCAATTTAACAATAAATTCAATTTTTGTGTCATTCACAACGAATGAGTCATTGTAGACCCATTCTGCATCTCCTCCATAGTGAAATGACTTGGCCTAAATTTAACTACATCGATGTCATAATTAGTATTTGTAGAAACTATTCCAATGGTTGTCTCAACACTAAAGCTATTGGATGAGTGCTAGAAGTAACGGATTAAGCAAGATTTAGTATCACAGTACAATAACATTTCATTTTCAAGTCGTGTCATATGTTTCAGTTGAACTTTAAAAATCGATTGGTTGTCACTGGTTTTTTATCAATTTTAAGGGTACTGAAAAGAAATATATTAAAATAAAGACAACATACCTTACTTGTGAGTGTGTTTTCGTCTATTCTGTACATCGACTGAACATGTGAATGAGAGAGGAGAGAAAAAAGAAATAGGTCAAAAGAGGAATTTTCTTTTTTTTTCCGACGAGAGAAAAACAATGAATATTTTCTCCCTCAAGAAAAAAAAACGATTTTTAGAGGGGTATAAAAATGAATGATTTTCTATGTCAAATCATTCAATTTATTGAATCATAAACTAATTGTTTTCTTTTATGTTTTAGATTGGCTTCAACCAAACAATATGAAACAATTCAACGGCGAACCAAACAATAAAATAAAATGTAGGTATTAGTTTTGATTTTTTCTTTTTTTTTCTTTTTCATCTGGATCATATGGAGGTGGTAACTCCTCCTATGATCTTTTTTATATATTGTTTTTATTTTTATTTTAGGAATTGAACATCGAAGAAAAAGATAACAGTGGAGTAAGTCATCTCGTTCTTTTCATTAAATAAGATTGATTAAATTTTTTTTTCCTTTTCCTTTTAGTCTTCAATATCATCGCGTCGTCTTCATCATCGAAC